ATTTTTTTAAATAAAAAATATTAAAAAACTGTACATTTATAAAGGAAAACATAAGTAGCTCTAGTATGCCTCAAATATTACAGACACTATCTAAAACCTGATTTTGCAAGCGTACCAATCTTGGAACACCTCTTTAATAAAACAGCAACTGACGCACCTTACGAGGTGGTAAAATCTCAAGGCTATTTCGTACAGTCTTCTTAGTCACGGCACTATAGTGGAATTTACGGTGATGTGAAGGTCAGCCGAATCAATTTCTCAACATGGGATTTAAAAAGAGAACCCTGTAAGCTGTTGTTGATGAAGTGATATATCTCTACTATTATTTGTCTCTTCCCATTTTCTGTTTCAAATATATTTATTGAGAGCAAGTATCATGATTGTAGTTTTTACAAATTGACATAACATAGCTTATGCTCCTTTTTTTCTCTAAACTAACAAGGCAAATAATTAAACAACACCAACAACAACAAAACAAAAAAAAAAAAAAAAAAAAAAAAAAAAACCGCAGTCACCCATAAGGGGTCCCAATACCCCGGCTGTCGACAAAAGGGAAGAGAAACAAGTAAACAAAGTTTTATATTTTCCCAAGGTATATAAGTAAAGGGTGCCAGATTAATTCAAAATCTTTTACATTGTCATTCATACTATATCTTATTTTTTCAAGGTGAAGAGTGTTTATAAGTTCAGTAAGCCACATTTTTAATACAGGAGTCTCATTGCCTTTCCAAAGCTGCAGGATCAATTTCTTTGCAATAATCAAAGCATATGCCATAAACCTTTTTTGAGAGTGTTGTAAATTTTGTGTTTCGTTGGAAATCCCAAAAATGATTACTGTCGGATTTGGTTCAATCTTACTTTTAAAAATATTAGACATATAAGTAAAAATATCATACCAAAAACCCTGAAGCCTTGGACATAGTGCAAAACAATGTAACAGATTTCCATAGTGTATCTTGCATTTTTCACAGAGGGGGGAACACTCTGGATACATTTTGTGAAGTTTTTCCCTTGAATAGTGTAGTCTGTGTATAATTTTGTACTGAATTAAACAGTGACGGGAATTAATAAAAGGCGTATTTATGTTGTGTAAGGCCTCCTGCCAGAAATCTTCTGATAGGAGAGTCCCAAAATCTTTTTCCCACTCCTCTTTGATTGAAGTAGTTGAAGGTATATTCATCTCCTGTATTGAATTATAAAATAATGAAATTCTCTGTTCAAACCCCCTTCCATCACTAAGACATCTGTCCAAAGGATCGGACGATATGTTTTCAAATTGTGGCAGGTATGTACGGATATAGTCTCTTAGTTGAAGATATCTAAAAAAATGACTGTGAGGCAATCCAAATCTATCTTTTAAATGTTGGAATGACATAAAAGTATCATTTAGGTATAAATCTTTTAATTTACAAATTCCCAATTCCTGCCATGTATTGAAAGCTCCGTCTACACATGATGGAAGGAAAGAGGGGTTAGCTGTAATGGGTGTACACATTGATAGTTTTTTCAATTTGAAGTGCTTAATTATTTGTCTCCAAATTTGTACGGTATTATAAATCACTGGATTCGAATTGTAATAGGAGTTTGTCAAAGGAATAGGAGAGAGTAGTATTCCACCAACACAGTAAGGAAGGCAATCCTCCCGCTCCATCTGTAAGCCGTTAGGGAGTATTGCTGTGTCATCCAATAGAAGGGAAATTATTCTTAAATTTGATGCCCAGTAGTAGTACATAAAGTTAGGTAGTGTAAGTCCACCAAGGGATCTATGTTTACATAGGTGGTCTTTTTTTATTCTATGTGTTTTATAATTCCATATAAATGGCATAATGATGGCGTCCATCTTTTTAAAAAAAGATTTGGGCAAGAAAATTGGGATGTTTTGAACCAGATACAAATACTGCGGGAGGAATACCATTCTTATTGAATTCACTCTCCCTATTAAAGAAATAGGAAGTGTCCTCCAGTACTGAATGTTGTTTTTAAGTTTCTCCAGTAAGGGAAGAAAATTCTCTTTCATTAGGGAGCTGTGTTTTTTTGGTATTGTAATGCCCAAGTAAGTGATTTTTTCATAGGTTATTTTAAATGGGAGAGATGTAAGCCATTGTTTGTTCTCTAATTTAATGGGCAGTATTTCGCTTTTTCCCCAGTTAATCTTGTAGCCTGCGAAAGTACTGAATTTATCAATCACGGAGAGAATTGCTGGGAGGGATATTAATGGTTTTGTTATGTATAATAATATGTCGTCAGCATAGAGCGATATAGAATTAGAAGTGTATGTTGTATCATAACCGTGTATATCCATATGGGTTCGAATTGTCTGTGCTAAGGGTTCCAAAGCCAGGGCAAATAATAAAGGACTAAGAGCGCATCCTTGTCTTGTACCTCTGCTGAGTTTAAACTGAGTTGATAGTGTCTGATTTGTAAGAATTCTGGCTGTGGGATTATTATAAAGTAGTTTTATCCAAGAGATGAAATCTTGTCCCAGTTGAAATTTTTCTGGGACTGCAAAGAGGTAGGACCACTCCACATGATCGAATGCCTTTTCGGCATCCAAGCTAAGTATAAGTAGGTCCTGTTGTACCTTGGGGGAATAGATTATATTAAATAGACGTCGAAGATTATTAAAAGAACTCCTGTTTGGAATGAAACCTGTTTGGTCTGAATGCACCAATTTATCTATTACTGTATTAAGTCTACTCGCTAGTATTTTAGCCAGAATTTTTTGATCAGAATTTAATAGAGAAATAGGTCTATATGATCCCACTTCCTCCAATGCTTTGCCTTTTTTTGGAAGTACTATAATAGTTGCTTCATTCAATGTTGGAGGTAGGGTGCTCATTTTGTATGCATGGTTATATAATTTAAATAGATATGGACTTAATTTGATCTTAAAGTATTTATAAAACTCATTCCCTAACCCATCAGGGCCTGGACTCTTGTTGTTTTTTAGTAATCCGATAGATTTTGTAATTTCTTCAATTGTGATCTTAGCGTTCAAAATATTGGCATTTGTCTGGTCTAACACAGGAAGATCACATTTATCTAAAAATTCCTGCATTTCATTAGGCCCTGCAGTGGGATGAGAAGTATAGAGGGATTCATAAAACTGTCTAAAGTTATCGTTAATATCTTTGTGTGATGTGACCAGATTTCCGTTACTTGTTCTGATTTTATGAATCGCTCTATCATTTTCTAGTTTCTTTAGTTGTCTGGCTAGCAACTTATGGGGTTTATCCCCAAATTCAAAATAGTTCTGTCTCACAAAAGTGAAAGTTCTATTAATATTAATAGATAATATTTGGTTTAGTTTATATTTTAGTGCACAAATAGTATTATACTTATCTAAAGAAGGAGCCATTGCATTATTGACGTCCAGTTCGTGGATTCTTTTTTCTAAATTTAGCTGTTCTAATTTATTCCTTTTGTTCCGTGACGCTTGATATGATATTATAAACCCCCTGATATAAGCTTTAAACGTTTCCCATAGTATATCTGGAGAGGTCTCAGCATTATCGTTTATATCAAAGAATAAAGACATCTGAGAGTTTATATATTGTTTAAATTCTAAATCGTTCAGTAATTGTGGGTCAAATCTCCAATTTCTGTATGTTTTAATGGGGTTACTAAGTGCAAAGGAGCAAGTAACGGGGCAGTGATCAGAGATAATAATATTATGATAGGTTGCATTTCGAATTAGGGGGAGCATTTTTCCATCCACCAAAAAATAATCAATCCTTGAATAACTATTGTGTACGTGGGAGTGGAAAGAATACTCTCTACCTGATGGATTTAAAATTCTCCACGCATCACAGATATTCATATTCTTCATATATGTTTTAATAAAATTACTGCTTTTACACGGTGTGATTTTTTTGGACAAGGATTTATCCAAATATGGGTCTAATACTAGGTTAAAGTCACCTCCAATTATTAAATTACTGTTAGGTATATCCGGAATTAAGCTGAAGACCTTTCTATAGAATTCTGGATCGTCATGGTTGGGCCCATAGACATTCAGTAGAATAATTGGAGTAGTATGCAGCTCCCCAGTCACTAATACATATCTCCCATTCTTATCAACTATAGTGGAGTTATGTTTGAACGGGGTATCTTTCTTAATTGAGATAGCTACCCCTCTAGTTTTGGCGGAAAGTGTTGAGTAATACACCTGATTTATCCATCTACATTTAAGTTTATTGTGAGCCGCATTTTTCAAGTGAGTTTCTTGTAAAAAAATAATATCCACGTTAAGAGATTTCAAGTACGATAAAACTTTGCCTCTTTTAACAGGTTCATTTACACCCTTTACATTCCAAGTACAAAAAGTTAAATCCACATTTTTTACCTTTCCATTATCTTGCATTTGTATACTTTAGGGCGGCTTAATTCTCGTATTTTCCATATTCGTACAGTCGAGATATGGGTCCCAACCCTCACCCCCCACCCCCCTACCCGTGTGTAACCGTGACAAAAAAAAAAAAAACGTAAGCAATGCATCCCCTTCCGTGTATCCCAGAAAAAAAAAAAAAAAAAAAAAAAAAAAAAATTCGAGGGGATGCTATAACAAAAACTAAGCTTACCAAAATATTCTATCTCAAAACTTCCCATTTTCATCACCACCTCTGTGTTTCCCATCTTCTTCCACCTCCTGATTCTTTTTTCCTATTTTATTTAGAAAAAAAAGCTGGTACAGCTAATGATTTAGCACTTTTTATCATTATCTTCACATCCTTTTGCATCATTTTCCTCCTCATGTTCATTACAGTGGATCTACAACACTCCTGACACTGTATGTATGTGCGGTTGTGTGTGTTCAGGTTTACCTGCAACTGTGAAATCATGTGTGTATGTTTGGTAAAGACTGGAAAAAAGCCTACGGGGCAGACTACAGCAGCTCTTTCCTTTATCTTCAAACAGCGGCTTGCTAAAACAACAACATTTGTGCGTACGCATGCGTGTGTCTGCCTGCGTGTGCATGCGTTTAATGTTTGCAATGTTACCTTTGGCCTCTTTGTAGTGTTCACAGATCCTTCTGACAGCTGCAAGACCCTCCTGCTCATCTCTCCCACCTCAAAGAGAAGGAAACACACACAAATGAATACAATATATGACGAGACCTTGGAGGCTTTTTATAAAAAAATACAGGTTTCCTTTTTTTTGTCAGTCTTTCATCTTATAAAAACACATTTCCAAGAAAGGTTCTTCGAATGAAAGAACACTCAGTGCAAAAATTTAGCCCTTCAGAAATTAGGAAAATTAACAAGGCTTCTGATTCAATACATCTACTTTTTCAGTAAAGACTTTAAATGCAAGCCTGTAAAGAAAGTATAATATTATTAAAAGCATGAGTTATTATGAAAGTACCATCTAACTTCAAACAAGCTATATGAGGACACTTCACCAAAGAGATTTTAGCCAAAGAAAAACTACCTTAAAAATGTGATTTTTCTTTGGCTAAAATCTTTTAATGCTTGCAAAGTCAAACAGCAACATTCTGAATATGAAATCAGTCAAAAGATACTTTTTTGCACCATCACTGGATCCAGGCAGCATAGCCAGACAGGAAAGTGGGGAGCACACTTTTATAATAATAAGTATTTTGATCCCAAAAATATCAGAAGAAATATCAGAGTGCCGCATATTTTAAAAAGCTATTTGGTAGAAGCAAAATAAATGGGTAAAATATGGTGCTTAAGGAATTTATTAGACCACAATCCAATATAATGTTTATACCACAGCTGCCCCAAAGTTTCTACAACGTTTCTGCAATGATTTATCAACCAGGATGCACAAGCTCCTCATTCTTGTTATTCAGGAATTTTCCAATTCAGTGTTTTACAAAAAATAGCAGAAAATATAGTGATGCATATTATTAATTTTTGCTTAAGATGCCAAATTACAGTAATTTACTTGCATTCCTGAACACCAAAATTAGTTTTAGTATATGAATGCTATGCTTGACTAATTTCTGACTTGTCAGAGAATTCCAGTCTGCCTCAAATTTAAGCAAAAAATGAAAACTGGGTTTGTTATTTGCCTGATAAACAATCACGTCATTTTGTGTTCTGAATATTTCTTTCTTTGAAAAAATTTGTGTTTTCTTGTTCTATGACAGCTGGTCTAATAAATTTGTTAAGCATCCTACCTGTTTTATTATACTTAGTGGGGGAAAATGAGATTCATACAGTGCTCAGTGACAACTGAAAATGGCGTGTAATACCATCTACAACATCAGATCTGAGTTATAAACTCATAAACACAAGACCTTTAAACACACTGATCCACAGCTCTCTATTTTGGTTCCATATTGAATGCACTGTTCAGATTAATTTACATGCTCCAGCAGCACAAGACAAAATATGCAGAGAGCTACATATCATGTGCTGCCTTCTAAGATCATTGTAATAAATATATTATCCCCATATGAACAATATCATTTTAATACACCAGTTCTCACAGTGAAAAAGTCCATGATATGCTCCTATCATAGTTAAAGTCATTTTCCTTTCACAGTGCAACAGGAGCAAGGGGCTGTAACAGCTCTTTCATAAAAATAATCTACCACACACCCTATGCCGAACGTAGGGTAAATTAAGGAACTTAATGTCCTGTCATTTAGCTCAATTCAATTTCCACGGTGTTAAAAAGATGACTGTTGCTATCGTTAGATGTAGCCGGATGACTAGACACGCACAAACTTGTACACACAAATAGCCTATTTGCACACGCTCATTTCCGCTTTGCTCACACACATAGACACACTTATCTTGGATTATCACATAGACCTTTTCAAGGGCACAGCATCATGTACCCTGATGCACCGCTGTTCAGGCAGGGCTGAAGGATGCAGCTTCTCTGAGTGACGTGCCACAAACACTCACATTCAGGACAGGAACAGCCTGATCTCACACAAACAGATTCTTTTTTTCCAAACGCACTAGTGCCCCTCTAGCAGGCTTCTCTGCCCATTTGCCAACACTCACTAAGAACGCTGCATATAATTGAATACACATCTCTTCACAACTGCTTCTGGACAAAGCTCTTCTTTAAAATAGCTACTGATTAAAAGACGTGCCCCAAGGAAATAGTTTGCCTACTAAATATTTTGGGATGAGAGTTGAAAAAGTAACCTAATTAATTCACAGACATATTCTTGCTGCAACTCAACAAATGGATAAACTGAGCAAGACCTGGAATAATAGTTAACCGTAAACTGCCAACTACTGACAATCTCATGCATGCATGGGGACCTGTTGTGCTTTCCCCATAAACATTATAAAAGATGGACATAGAGTCTGGGTCTGAAAACTGAAACCAATGTGGAAGTGCTTTAAATCTGTAATTTATTTAATGGCCTCCAAGGAGCAACACCTGTGGTTATACAGACTTGTCATCCTATAGAACTCTATAGAAAAACAGCTTTCTGACACAAGCTTTTCTGCTGAGTTTATGGGCTCAGTCACTCAATTTGGGTCAAACTTAATAAAAATTATGGTCCATTTTGTAAATCTCAGAGACACTGTGGAGGACAATCTGGATAGCAACAAGTTTGATGAAATTCTAACCAATACTCTTTTTTTGAATTGGGAATGGATGTACAGACGCTTAATCACAGCATAAACTAAAAATACTTGTTAGTCAAAGCTCTGTCACGGCACGGTGCGCCGGTGTGTTAGAGCAGTGCCCAAGAGCAGACACAGGCAAGGAGACGTAACATGACTTTAACAAAAGGTGAGCCTTTATTATGGCTGAACAGAGGGCAAAACAAAAGCTAAGACGAGTGCTGGCAAGACAACTAAACTGACTGTGAAAACCTATGACACTGAACACTATACAAGACTATGAAACTGTGATAAAGCTATGAAACTTCGAAAACTAATTCTATGACTGTGACTATGAGAACGGTGACGACTATGACGAGCCATAACTGGGAAGGTTACACAGACGACGCGACAAAGACTGACTGAAACACAGAGACTAAATACCCACAGGGATGATTAAGGGAAGTGGAAACACATGAGGGAGAACAGCTGACACACATGAACCTAATGACAGGACAGGGGAAGTGAAACTAAATACAATAAGCAAGGAACACCGGACTCTTTCAAAGTAAAACAGGAAACATGGAGACTTAGACATGATGCAAACCTGATAACAAGAACCACACAGACATGAAGCATGACAGGTAGACACACGAACCAGGGACGCTTAGTACAGGGGAGATGACATAAACAACTAAGAAACAAAGGACTAAACAGCAACCTAGAAATTAACTAGATGAGTTAAACTAGAACACGAATGAATACAAAAGAAACATAAAAACTCAAACACTGGGTCACACGACCCAGTACTGTGACAAGCTCAGGCTTTATGCTGCTTTAAATGCTCAGTTTCCAAGTTTTCCTTTCTTCTGCTCTTGGATCTGTATGATGATACAGAGAAGGATTAACCTTAATATGTCACCTCAGGCAGACAGCTCTGGATTTAAGCGGCAATTCAAGTGGCTCCATTCACCTGCCATTCAAACCTTCTGTTAGTGAGTAACAGCCAATCACAAAAGGATTTCTCACTTAAAGGTAGGATAGGTGTCAATAAAATGAGAGACGGTAAAATGGCTCACAGTACAGAGGCTGCATCTAATCCTGGTATACGAAACTGTTATTCTGAGCTGCAGTTCAGACAAATTAGTAGTTGGGAATGAGCGTACTTGGGGAGACAGAGTAAAATATTTTATTTGTTTAACCTGCAAATTGATTTGTGCATCATGTGCTACGTATGAGCCAGATTTTGTCTTTGTTGCCGGCACAGTGGTATCAAAACCTTCAGTCTGCTTTAATCAGTTATTCTATTCGATATACAGTGGGGCAAAAAAGTATTTAGTCAGCCACCGATTGTGCAAGTTCCCCCACCTAAAATGATGACAGAGGTCAGTAATTTGCACCAGAGGTACACTTCAACTGTGAGAAACAGAATGTGAAAAAAAAAATCCATGAATCCACATGGTAGGATTTGTAAAGAATTTATTCGTAAATCAGGGTGGAAAATAAGTATTTGGTCAATAACAAAAATACAACTCAATACTTTGTAACATAACCTTTGTTGGCAATAACAGAGGTCAAACGTTTACTATAGGTCTTTACCAGGTTTGCACACACAGTAGCTGGTATTTTGGCCCATTCCTCCATGCAGATCTTCTCGAGAGCAGTGATGTTTTGGGGCTGTCGCCGAGCAACACGGACTTTCAACTCCCGCCACAGATTTTCTATGGGGTTGAGGTCTGGAGACTGGCTAGGCCACTCCAGGACTTTCAAATGCTTCTTACGGAGCCACTCCTTTGTTGCCCGGGCGGTGTGTTTTGGATCATTGTCATGTTGGAAGACCCAGCCTCGTTTCATCTTCAAAGTTCTCACTGATGGAAGGAGGTTTTGGCTCAAAATCTCACGATACATGGCCCCATTCATTCTGTCCTTAACACGGATCAGTCGTCCTGTCCCCTTGGCAGAAAAACAGCCCCATAGCATGATGTTTCCACCCCCATGCTTCACAGTAGGTATGGTGTTCTTGGGATGCAACTCAGTATTCTTCTTCCTCCAAACACGACGAGTTGAGTTTATACCAAAAAGTTCTACTTTGGTTTCATCTGACCACATGACATTCTCCCAATCCTCTGCTGTATCATCCATGTGCTCTCTGGCAAACTTCAGACGGGCCTGGACATGCACTGGCTTCAGCAGCGGAACACGTCTGGCACTGCGGGATTTGATTCCCTGCCGTTGTAGTGTGTTACTGATGGTGACCTTTGTTACTTTGGTCCCAGCTCTCTGCAGGTCATTCACCAGGTCCCCCCGTGTGGTTCTGGGATCTTTGCTCACCGTTCTCATGATCATTTTGACCCCACGGGATGAGATCTTGCGTGGAGCCCCAGATCGAGGGAGATTATCAGTGGTCTTGTATGTCTTCCATTTTCTGATGATTGCTCCCACAGTTGATTTTTTCACACCAAGCTGCTTGCCTATTGTAGATTCACTCTTCCCAGTCTGGTGCAGGTCTACAATACTTTTCCTGGTGT